GACATTGCTGAACTAGTGAACGGGTCCCCGGGTTATACCGCATCGCTGAAAAGCTGGCTTGCCAGTCAGGCAGTATTTGCCCTCTTCTCCCTTAGCTGTTCAAATCAAGGACTCATCGGTTATTACCAGAAAACAAAAGGGTATACACTACTTTTAAAACAAATGGGGAGATGTGTAAACCCTCTTAATTATATGAATTAAAAATATTTGATGAGTACTGTAGTTACTGTGTAAATAATGAATAATGCCATAATTAAAAGGAAATGCTAGTGATTGGTTTGGTTTGTTTGTGTTTTACGACCTATTATCAGCTATGGTCATTTAAGGACGTGCCAGGTTTTGGTGGTGGAGGAAAGCCAGAGTTCCCAAGGAAAAACCCACCGGCCTACGGCCAGTGCCTGGCAACTGTCCCACGTAGGCCTCGAACCCGCGACCCAGTGGTGGGGAGCTAGTGGTAGCAGATTGTAAGACGCCTTAACCACTTGGTCACTCCGGCCCCTGAAATAGTAGTGACTATCAAGGTAATGGCAAACATTGGGTCTCTCAAATCCACCAGCATACTTCGTATCTAGAAAGATTGACGTAAGACGAATCTTAGAAATTTAGTAAGACACACGCGGGCGAATGCACCATGTACGGTATGAAGAAAATAAATTAAACTGTATCATAAAACTGCTTCTTCTTTCAACAACACTTCGTTGCTGATAAACGCCAAAGCTTTTAGCGAGCAGGCATACCGATGAGAGGAAATACAATAAAATAGTAAAAAACGACACATCGAAAACCTTGTCCAATACGTCCAAGTTTTGACCTATCTGGATTTCAAACTGTTTTGGCATCACAGGAGAAAGCTGCATTGAGATTTCATGAAGTACATAATTTCACTGTATTTGAAACGAAAGGCATTCAATGAATAATCTTTGAACACCTGAAAAGATAAACACCCGGTGTTGCCTATGTCATTGTATGAGCTTTCTCGGGTTCGATATATTTGGGTGAAATTTGAAGGATAATCACGACATCGTATGAATAACGTGTCATCGTTCGATAGTGAAACATGGTAAAAATTGATGTTGATGTCAATGTTATCTTCTTATTCTATTATGGCTATGAATATCCGTATTTTATAAATATATACATATACATGTATATCCTCAATAACATTCACATAATACTCCGTATCGTAGACAACAAAGGGAACATAATACTACTTGGTGAGACTGAGCAATATGGATGTACTTACCGTGTGTATTCTGCAAGCAATTTAGCAAGTCAAAGATGCAGTCAAACAAATGAAACAGCTTTGCTCACTCATCAAAGAGATGTGCTCAGTATCATGGATATCAGCATATCACCAGTACAACCGAAGAGAATGTAACGTTCAAAGACTGTGCAGAAACTCTTGTTGGAAGACATGTATTCATCATGTTCGAACCATACTGTATTCTCTTCATGTCTCTGCATGACAAACATTCCAAGAGCAGAACTCTACTAAACATGTTCCAGGCGACCTTTGGAATCCAGAATGGAGACTTCATCAAATTATTGATGTGGGATTAAACTGAACGCTTAAACCTGTTCGTCAAACAAGGTAATAGATGTCGTTAACACCAGTTCTATCCACCAAACCCGTCGTAGCTAGCATGAAACCATACTTCAGAAACAAAGGTATACTTACACACATTATGTATCTTTTTAACCCTTACTTCCAAGCTTTTTTCAACTACAAGCAAACGCTACAACAGCTGAATAAATATTCCCTTCATCTTTACAACAACATGACATCTGTGTTGTGCGATAAGCAGACCGATTTCGATTGTCCTATTGTGAACTTTCTCTTTTTAGATAGTAACACCCATGTTTCTTTCATGTGGTTTTAACATGTATGTTCCTAATATGATAACATGGACAAACGTAGGCTACTGATGGGTACACGACAGGGCTTCTGGAGATTCAACTTGACGAAATGTATGGTCACAATCATGATCTCATTAAGAAATATGTGTATTTGTTACGTTCATAAAGGTTTATCGTTTCATTGGCACTTCCCCGGTTCTCACTTTCATGACCTGATATTACTTAGATTTTACCTTGATTAGAATGAGGGTGCTGGCAGTTAAGAATAAGTTTCTTACTATCCGTATAACATTGTCTTATGTGTCTTGTATTGTTAAGGGAAATATTTTCTTCGTTAATATTTTTCAATAGTTTTATCGTTTTTTGAGTTCAACTACGAGTTTTGCTTACACTTCGGTTTTCTCACGTTAAATTATTTCATATGTCATTTTCTTTCTTCACAGGTGAACGGATTACCTAGTTTTTTTGAAAGGATCACTGCACAAAGGAAACAGTATCTAAATAAGTATTCCAGATTTGCCCCGTACATTTGGTGTATATATTTATATATCTCATTACAAAAGGTTTGCCTGTTCTCAGATTATATTTCTTGTACCATTTTGTTATTCATGAACTATATTGGACATTTTGACATTTAACAAATACATATACTGGTTGAGCTGCTATGGCCTCTTTGTCTCTTGTGTTATTATATATATATATATCGCCCCGCACAGGGAGTGTTTTTATTTTTATTTATGTATATTTTTTTATTATTATTATCTTTTTTGTAAATAATTCTATTACTAGTATATCTAACTCCTAAACAAATAGTACTCTTTGCCTTAAGACTATAATTAATGTATTAATATTGCTGTGATATCGTTACGGCGGGTACTATATGGCGGACGTCGCTATAGTGAACTATTAGGTGACGTCATAGTTTATGACGTCACAACATATTCTTCAAATAAACAGTCTGAAGAATCTCCTAGAAGAGATTAAAATACTAAACACTCGTTGTTGAGAATTTTCTTTTTATTATTTATATATATATATATAAATCGTTCAGTAATTTAAATGTATGCAGCGATATTTCCCTTACTTTGGCGATATTCTTTGAAAAGATAGTGCTATCATATTTACACCAGATCTCGTATATAGTTTTTACCATTATTGTTAATACCTCGAGGGAGAATTATAGGGTTACAATTCAAAGATAAGAAACAAATATATCAGTTTATTTGATCAATCCATGCATTCGAGTTTGGAAAATAAGAACCGATTTAAAATGTTAAAAAGGAAGAAAAAAAAAGGGCGAGATCCCCAATCCACCGACCCAACCCCGATCATTATCCCACCTCATCCCAGTATGGCATGGTTTTATCATACATTCTGGGATGATGTGACCACTTCTTACATAAGTATAAAAATGAAACCAGTCAGCTTAAAAACAATAACAATTTGGTAGATAAAATAAATACAAAGTAATTAAATATTTACAACTTTTTTGTTTTGTACTGTTTTTATGCAATGAAAACTCACAAACAACTTAACTCATATAAAATGTTGTCGTGCTTAATATCCTATATTGAAAAAGCCAAGTAGGGGGATATCTCCCACAATGGTACTTCATCAGGTTGGTATGTGAATTTGTTCTATGTATATAGAAGTGTGACCAACAACGACATCCAGGTGTAGTTAAAACAAATAGTTACAACCTGGGAGACATCACCTGATAATTGGAGGGAAACTGTCTTTCATGAATGAGAGCGAGTGTGTGTATATATATATAAAAACAATCCAGAACATTATCAGAAATATTACTTTGTTTGACAATATAATGATGTGATATAGCAATTCATCTATATACAATTACGTTGTTTTTCTTTTCTTTCTTTTTTTTCTCCATATATTTATCCGAAATCAGATATTCTTCTTTCGGAAGTCAAAAAATATAAACTTTCCAATCTGACCTTAATTGCTTTAAAGACAAACCTAAAATTATTTTTCTGTCAAATTTCAGATATATCACAGCAGAAATCATCAAAATGGACAATCGTGTTGATTAGACAACACTTAGGTAATACATACATAGAGCTATGGAGGCCCAATGTTGACAACTTCGAATACTTTTGAAGACATATACACGTTTTTAAAAACAATGCATTGTCTCTTCGATGACATGGGGATTATTATGTTGTCTTCTTTGGGTCTTTAAAGATGCGGTAGTAGCTAATCCCATTGTCCCAATCAATTTTCACTTTTCTATAATAATATTGCGTCATAATCAACGATATTTTTTCAATACCATCAATTAACTATAGTAGAAAAAGGTCACTTTCAAATATCAAATATTGAAAAACTGCAGTCCATTTGTAACTTAGCAGACATTCTTCATTAATGCAATAACTATATGTACTAGATTTTTAGTGAGGTTCTAGACAGAAAGTTTTGGATCAATTATAAATATAAGAATAGTAACTTTATTAAATTGGCAAAAAATCTTTATTTATAAATGTTTGTGTATGCATATTAAAACAAAGAGTGTTTTTTTTAAATATAATCTGTATACATAAAATATATCAAGTTACCTGAATTAGACCTAGTACGATATAAATGAATATCAATGTAAACTGACTGAATCAAATGTACAGTACCTTAATGATTACCTACTGTATCTTAGACGTACCTTGACATGTACTTTGTTATATGTATTGTTGATAATGCTTTGGAATGGAAAGGGAAAAACAATGAAAGAAAATTTAAAAAAAAATAATCTTCAATAATTTTATTTCAAAAACAGTATTATTAAGTCAATACATAGCAGAATAACAGTTATAGGATTATCTTTTTCTTTGCTTTTACTTTAGTTTCGCTGTCACTCCTGTACTTGAATGTGATTTGATGTTTGTATCGAGGTACAATTTCGAGATGAAATAATTATCGCCATTGTTGTCATCATCAGTGTCATTTACCTGAAAAATAACTTGGGGATTGCCTTTTACCGGAAAAGCCTGTCACAACCCTAGCCCTGGTGCTTCTTTACATGTGCTTATTTAGAATTTTAAAAGATATGGCAATGGGTGGATGCCAGGTGCATTAGCACAAGCACTAAGGCGTTTAATGCAGAGTGAGTTAAAAAAAACAAGCAAAAACAAGCATGAATTTAATTTGATAACAAATTTTACTGAATTAAAAGATCAAAGTAATGCCTTGGTATTATTAAAGTCCTATACCAATTGTTAGCCCAACCACAGGTAGATTGATTCATTTACATATAAAATTGTACAACATATTGCTATAAAAATCACAAAAACAGCACTGAAGCATTACGTATCCATTTCCTGTTCCTGTAGTAGTTTGTTTTGCAAATGTTCTTTAATAGTGTCTGTGGGGTTTTCGATGAAAGAGGGATGAGCTAACACTTGTTTAAACAGAGAAATGTCATTCATCCTGCAAAAAAAAAGAAGATAAGACGTCATTTCAGGAGGGTATATCGTAGAAAAGTATAATCATTACCATAATACAATATTCTTTGTTTGATTCATGGTGTGAACATATAGAGGTTTTCTGTCTCTGGTTATATTTTGCAGTACCAATGTTGTATTTTTTTTAACCTTTTTAGGCTTTTAAAACTAATTTATCAGATGTTGAACTTGTCAATGTATACTTACCAATTATCTACACTAGTTCATATTTTGTATATGTAACATTTGTTCACTCCATTTTAGTTTACCCTTTGAATCACGATAGAAGAGTGAAAAACGTGGACGAAACTTTTCCATTTTTACATTAATAATGGGTTTTTTCTGAGTAATTGCAAAGCTGGAAGGATAATTTGCCAACGTCTGCTTTAGGAAATAATTGAGCACAATTACAAAACACAAATATACCAGATGTATTAGATCAAGGGGTTTCAGTTACCTTATTCGATATTTTAATTCTGTCACTACCTTAAACAACTTGACCAGATGACACAGAACACTTACATTTGTTTCTTCCGTTGCTTTTCTTTTGGGATACATTTCTTAGTCGTTTCTTTATTGTCACTGAAAGTGGAATATAATAATTATCTATCTGTGTCTTATAGTAAAATTTGGTTTCCTTCAAATACGATATATTTTTGTCTCCAGAAGTATAGAAGACTATACAATTATTTACATAGTGTATTTCTAATCCCAGATTTTAGGAACTTGAACAAGGCGTCATTAAAAGAATAAATAGACAACAGACAAATGGATGAAAAAGAGCCAAATATACTACTGATTTTTAATATTGCTGGCAAATATATTGCAGTTCTTCTGAACAAAACAGTTTCGCAAGGAAAAACTTTCTGTTGTGTGTATCATCAGGCTACAGCCACTTGACTAGTTTCAATAAAATGTATTTCAAAGAGAGAGCCGGCAGGGGCAGCATATCCCCTTGAATAATTCATGTGCAGGGTTTGCTTTTGACCCAACATGGATTTGTATTTGATAAGGACAGGAAATCTGTATAATCTGTTCTATGTGGGTATGTTACCCATTTTAAACATATGAAATGTAGATATTATACAATCATCCATTTACAAGTTACACAGAAGTGAAGTGTACAAGTTTTCATGTTATCATTCAGAGAAACAAATTTCTATTTTTAGCAACGGTGACCTTATACCTCTGACTGCCTGTCTTATAAATCAACCAAAGTTAGAGGTTCATATGGAAATTCATTCATGACATATTTTCGTGACAAACACATAGAAGCCAAATTCAATTTTAAGCAACGGTGACCTTGAACTCCCGAAACACCGCTAAAAATCTATAGGGCTTTCATTATCCACACATAACTACGAACTTTGTATGATCTTTTGATCTAAAGTTACTATCCAGACAAGTCCAACCAAACAGCATTATATATTTATAAACGGTGACCTTGACCTCAAACTAACACTACCCAAAATCAACAGGGTTCTTTGTATTCACTAGGGCAACCTACACACAAAGCTTGATCTTTATTTGATCAGTCGTTCTCAAGTAATCATCCCGATAAGCCAACCGAAAAGGAATTCTATTTGTAGCAATGTTGACCTCTGGCAAACCGCACTCAAAATCAATAGGGTCGGTCGGTCAACTGACCAAGTTTGAACTTTGTATGATCAAACTTCATAAGTAATCATTCAGACAAACACTACGGAGAGACAGCTATATGACTAGGAACCTGGAGATCAAGGGTTCGATCCCCGGTACAAATGGTGTCCATCGCCCTTCCTGTAGTGACAGCAAGTTAGAACCTGGGTTGTGGTGTTCAAAGGCAAACACATTTAAAAAGGGGGGAGTAGTGTGGCAGGGTTCAATTGTACATAGGGTTAAGGTCGCCTTCTGGCTTCGAGCAAGAGGGAATTTCCCTTTAGCTCAGTGGTAGAACGTCCAACTAGGTACATGGAGATTGAGGGTTTGATCCCCGGTGGAAGCACACTATTCTCTTTCCTGTTAAATGTCTTAACATCAGACTGGAAATGTCTTGGCTGAACACCACTCACCTTGATTTTGGCCCAGTAGACCCCTTCAACAGAAGGTCAAGGGTCGGCAAGGCATCGCCAAGGATACCAATGTCACCAACAACTGGTGTTTGCTGTCTTTTCTTCTTTGCCTTAGCTTCTTTTTTGGCTGTATCAATGGAATTTAGCTCTGAAAAAATATGAAAAACTTAAAACACCTTTTGTTATACTACTAAGCTGTAAAGTGGAGCTCAAAACAACTCACCTATCTGCTTTAACACATTAATATTGCTAACATTACACTAGGTTAGTTAACCACAAAAATAGTTGGGTTGACTTATTCTTATACTACAGTTTCTTTGTTTCCATTAACTCTTTTGCTATTATTTATCTTCAGGACACTTATTGTGCCAATCTTTTCAACCAAACGAATGACAACAAGTCAAAGAAATATCTAATAACAAAAACCATGTGATTTAAAAGACTGTTTTCCTCGTTAAAAGGAACATTCAAGATGGCTGCTGTGGCCTGTGAATGGCAGAGGCCATTAACCCATTACTTTTCCAATACTTGACCATTTTATTGAAATTTTGTATGATCATACATTTAATGACCTTAACGTACAGAAATAAGTCCCTACTTTTGTGTATGATCTACCTAGCAAGCCACAGCAGCATCTGATTTGCAGAATAATGTTTACCCATTACTTCTTAATAATACTGTACATTCACCAATTTCACTTAAACAAGAGATGTATACATACATTCCGCATGACTTCCTACATATTTATGCAACATTCAAGATGGCCGCAGCAGCCTATGATTAGCGGGGACCTTTTTACTCACTGCTTCTATATATCTGGAACAACTTTGTTAAAACGTCATATGTATATACAACTCGAAGGCCATCTCGAATGTTCTTTCAAGGAGAAAAAAACTTTGCAAAAAATTATGTCAGTTCAGTGGGTTTGAGGACCACTTCCATTGTTGCTCATAATTTAATATCTAGTTATCAGTTGTTTTTGTTTTTTTGTAACAGGAGGGGAAAAAGCATTACCTGATCAAAATTTGAACCAGCTACTTAACCAATGGAGATACCTGGTTGCCAGCAATTGATCCAGTCCAGTTCTGTTACATTCTATTTCTTTAAAACACTTTTATCATCCTTCATATACAGTAGATTTTGCTTAATATCACTTCCCATTTGTCAGAGAAAAACATGATATTAACAGAAACATGACATTAACAGAATACGTATTTTCTGACGTGTTTCAGCCCTCAAAACCGGAAGTGAACTTAGTTAAATGCCTAAGTGATGTGGCTCTACGAAGAAGATTGTAAAATAAAAGATATTTTGTAACTAACCTTGTTCTTGACTCTAGTTGAAATATAGTATAAGTATAGAAATAAATATATTCTTTGTATTTCATTTCAGTATATGCACACATTAGTGGGGGAAAAAAATTATATTTGAATTTTCTTACTTTTCATCCACAGATCATGTTTCAGTTTCCTCTTGTCTTTCTTCTTCATGTTGAGGCCTCTAAGAGACTTGCTGGTTATTGTACTGCGGGTGTCAAAGTCAGGCAGCTCTTGTTTTAGAGTTTCTTTATTTATCTTCAATCCTGGCAATTAGAAATCCACACAATGAACATCAACATATGATACAGGGCAAGGTGATAATGTCTTCGCTTTACTCCTAAAGCTAAAATGTCGGCACTTTGTCAGAAACGATAGTCGGACTAGATGGGGAAGATCTATTTAAAAAAAAAAATCTCAATTGGAAGCTATTTAACTTGCACTGTCAGCTTTAAGCATCAGAAACTAAAATTCCTGATGATTATATAACAGGACTTTATGAAACACAAAAGAACTAGAAGCAGTAACTTAAGAATCAATTTTGTGGAATTTATATCCCCCGCTTTCAGGACATATTGTAGGTAAACATTTTTGAGGTTAGGTTTAAACATGTGAGTATCATGCTGTTGAGACATAATGTATAGCTTGAAACTTGAAGAAAAAAAGCCTGATCTAATATTTGCTAGTTATTAAACGGAAACTGCAGATAATGTTTCTGCGAAATGGATGGGTTGTCAAACTTGGCCGAGCGCTCAATGCTTTGAACCCTGTTACTAAGTTTGAAGACAATCGGATAATATTTACAAACAGCAGATACTGACATTTTTAGTTATTCAAGGGGACATAACTCCGCCAAATAAAGTCCGCTGGAAGTGGTCATCGAACTTGGCCGAGCCCTTAAGGCACTTAAACCTGTGACCAAGTTTGAAGAAAATTGGTTAATATTTGTTGTAGGTATTGCATGGAAACGAAGTGTGACAGACAGACGGACAAACCCTAATTAAAATCCCCTGTTTCGGTGAAAGCGGGGGATAAAAATAATTGACAATTATACTAGTTATATATGCAATCTACACTGACATTCACTCAATAACCATTGTTCCCACAAATTTAAGTCATTGTCTCATCACCTGACCACAAAACATGACAAGTTTCCATGGCGATGACAACAAAACAAGTGGGTGGAGCTATGTAAATTTTCAGCAAACGAAACACAACTATATGACAACATCAACAGTGAATGTGTGCCAATATAAACAAGGATTATGTCAATTTCTGGCTATTTCTTTCATTGATCTGATCACAAGTCATTAAGTTTTGCCGATGAATTTTGTCCCTTCATCTGACTTGAGAATAAAATAGTTACGAAACATTAACAGAAAAGTAGTGTTGATATAAAGAAAAGTTTTCTATTTTGGTCAGGTAACGCGGTGACAACTCCAGTTGAACACAAGTAAACTTATCATGAATGGCTTAATGTCATTATTTATTGTGATATTTAAAAACAAGAGGACAACAACATGCAACCTTCAGATGCCAAACAGAGTTACTGAAATTTCTTCTGAGGCATTCTTGTTAATATGTAATAGAAAACTGATATATAGAAGGAACTAGAAATGTGCTGTCTCAGTGAAGCTGAATTATATCTTGGATGTTGTAAAATGAGAAAAACATATTGTAACTATCCACTTAAGCTGAAGAAATACACATTCATGTCATATATCCTTTCATATCTGAATATCCTGACCAAGTCTATTTATTATTGAAGATATTGAAAGAAAATGGGTGGACAGATGGAGGTCACATACAACTTAGTAAGACCTTTCTTCTGAAGAAATACACATTCATGTCATATATCCTTTCATATCTTCGGAAAATATTTAGAGAGACAGGCACTGGTTCCCCAACCCACTTGAACAGAATTGATTCATATTAAACTATTAAAACAAATATGTTGCCGGTAAATCCCTAACAGTGAAATCGTTCACCATTTTTCATCACAATCAAGTCTTATTCAACTAAGCTATTGTGCGGATATTGTTGATCTATCAGATTATGCATAGATTTTGATAAACTTTGAACTTTGCCTCAGTCTATGTATATTGTACATGCTTACCTAGTTTCATAAAAATAACATTGTATGCAAGTCATCTTGTGGAAATGACAGAGAATGGACAAACAGACAGACACTCCTCTAAGGACCCACATCAAATAAATTCTTTAAAATGTAAATGTAGTAGACCTCCAAGAGGGGGGGGGGGGGGGGGGGGGGGGGGGGGGGGGGGGGGGGGGGATGGAAGAAGAGTCACTGCCCACAAGATCACATCCTGTCTACCAAACTATGAACCTAGCCTCTGTTATCACAGATACTGTTTTGTATTTGTATAAAGCTGTATAGCAGATGGAGAGACTGTTTATAGCAAATGCCTTTCTCTGCTTGGGGTTATTCACCCTCACAGCAGCTAATTTTAATGTCAAATGCAGGCAGCAATGCTGTAATATACACGGCCACTAAATTACCCCACCTTTAAACAGGCTGCCATCCTTCTCTGCAGGTGATAGGAGTGTTGGTGGAAACTGTAAAAATAAATTCCATTATAGCTTTTACAACTGTGTAAAAACATATTGCCAACATGTTACATTGTATTTGTAGATGAAGTACTGATATCAGAAAATTGGTTAGATAAACTCAAATTTATACCAAAATTAAAGACTTTGTTAAGCTAAAAACCTATATGATCAAATAAAAATGTTCAATAAAAGAAGATTTTTTTTATTAAATTTGAAATTGAATACTGATCTTTCTAAGCTGATTTTTGTTTTGTTGTTTTTGTATTGTTTTACGGCCCATCGACAATTTGTGTCATTTAGGGCCAAACAACTGTGAAAAAAATAGACATTCACAAAAAACTAAATACTTAAAAACCAGAAACAAAAGGTTAAAATGTGTAAAAGATGTCAAAATATATCAATACCAAACAAATTGTTTATGAAATATATATCTTATTATAGAGATGAATTGAATGTAAATAATCATAGGTTGATTGCACAGAAACTGTATCAAATAAATGTTTCATAGAGGGTATGATATATAATCTGTAACATATTTGTTTGAAATCAGTGCATTCAATCATAAAATGTTTGACTGTAAACGGCTGATAAATAATAATAATAATAATAATAATAATATACAACATTTATATAGCACCCTATATAATTTGTAAAATTACTCTAAAGCGATTTACAACATATGGATAATAATAATGGTTATAATTGTGAAAACAAAAAACAAAGGCTTACAATCACTTATATACATTTAAGCAAGCAATGTGAACATAATTGAACAAATAAAAGGGTGGTATTTACAAAATGTCTTTGCAAAGATTCTAAAATGCAGCTGATCACAAGTATGACATTAAGGTTGGTTCTTTAGGTAAAATGTAACTATGTGTGATGTAGGTATGGCCTAAGTGCAGTCTGCTCTACCTTTTGCACATGAACCTACATTAGGTTGAACTGAAAATAATTTATTGTTTGTTTAATATATAAAGTGTTTGTTATTCACGGTCTGCTACAAACATTTAAAAAATTCATTGAGGGCACTCCACATTTTGTTATATATATGAACTCTATCAGATTTGATTTTTTTAAATTGCACAAACTTTGAAATGAAAACATCATCCCTCTGCAAAATGGTCCAAATACTTAAAGGGAGACAACTCTAATTTGTAAAGTTTCACATTAGAATGGACATGACTTTTTCTGTGAAGTAATTAAATCAATAGCTTTGTTTCTTATGCAGTTAATTAAATAACAAGAGTTCCCCGGGGCGGAACAATATATGCCCGTCGAATGCCATATAGTGTTATATACTTTCTTACATTGAAATAGGATCTGCATCATTCTAAGATTGGTTTAATAGCTGAAATGCTATAAACAAGAGGCCCAGAGGGCCTGTATCGCTCACCTGAATATGTTTAAAATAATTGATATGAAGTAAAGATATAACACTCCATGGTAGGTGCTGTAAGTACATATGAAATTCCAGAAAGATCCATCCAGTACTTGAAATATAGCGAGAACAAACTTCAAACAGAGCCCCACCCCTATGCCCCTAGGGGGGTCATACCCACCAATAATACAAAAACGAGTCCCCTTTGCCCAAGGATAATATTCCTTAATTCCTATGGTAGAAGAAGGATTTTAAAGGTTTTACCTCTATTTACCCTATACGGCCCCGCCTCTCTGCCTCCAGGGGGGGCCCAGACACACTGTTTATACAAAACTAGTTCCCCTTTACCCAAAGGATGCTCCACACCAAATATAGACAAAATCCTTTCATTCCTATAGAAGAAGGATTTAAAAAAAAAAAATGCTATGTTTCCCCTATTGGGCCCCACCCTCAGGTCCCAAGGGGACCAGACCCACGGTTTATACAAAATTGGTTCTGCTTCACCCAAGGATGCTTCAGACTAAATATGGAAGAAATCCTTTCATTCCTATAGAAGAAGAAGGATTTTAAAGAATTTGCTATATTTCCCCTATTGGGCCCCACCCCTCAGCCCCAAGTAGGGCCACACCCACCGTTTATACACAATTCGTTTCCCTTCCCCCAAGGATGCTTCTGACCACATTTGGTCAAAATCGGCTTAGTCGTTCATGACTAGTAGCGATTTAGAGAAAAAGTTGACGGAGCTGCAGTATGACTCACCATGGTGAGCTAAAAATGTAGGAGAAATTCTCCAGACAAAAATAAAATACTGAAATGAACAAAGGGCAATAACTTTTGCAAAAATCGTTGAATTAAAATTCTTTTAAGGGAGACACAACTTCATATCATGATTATAATGTATACCAACTTTCAAAGAGATCGGTCGAAAAATGTAGGAGGAGATTGCCGGACAAACAAAAGTTTACGCTGGCCAGCCAGACTGACGCCGCCATATTAGAGTTTACTGACATTGAGATAAACAAGAATGTGTATCATAAACGTTTTGCTGCTTACATTTTTTAATTTAAAGAAATATTCAAAACCTATTTCTTGTCTAGTAAATACTTACTTTCGTGTCAGTTTCCATATCGTGCATATCCACTATTTCGACCTTGCTGTCTTCTTTCTTTTTGGCTGCTGCATGGTACTTCTGTCGATTCTTTTTCATTTTCCCCATTGTGGGTTTTTTTCTGAAAGTAAGAATTTATGAAAGAAAGTAGTTTCAGTAGTGTACATATATCAAAATATTCTCAGAGGGAACGTAGAAACTGGCCTGTTTCATGTTTAAGAAATCGATTGTCTTTTTCTTTAAATTCGTAGACTAATGGTATGACGTCGACAATGGTGAGTTAACGGTGAGTTAATGTCTCATTTAATATAGTTATCCAAAAGCTGAACCTTAGAGGTTTTTGGGTAATTGTTTTAAGGGCTTCCACACCTAAACCACTTATTATACTATAACATTGTGAAAAGACTCATGTAGCACAACCATTAAGTGTTTATATGTGACTTTTCGATGACTAGTTCGGTACTACTCTACACCTTCATCAGACAAATGACCAGTGAAGCGTATGTACACAAAGGTGTATAATTGTCACTGCTGATATTTTATAATCTATAATGAACAGCGAGAAACAAAATTTAAGATGTAATCCATGGCCCAATCTTGTACTCTCCCTTTGGCTCTGGCCTTCAGCCCTCGCTGGACGGGTCATGCACCTACAGCACATATTTTCCCCTAATTCTAAAAAGGGCAATACCTTTCTATTCCTGCATTTATCCTTGTAAGTTTATTTATATTGTATGGATTGATCATATGACTTGTATGTCTACATGTATGTGGAGTACTCGTACCTCAGAGTGGCTTATTCTATTTAGATACATATACAATATTGTTAGGTTCTATATCAAATGCTGTGCAGTAATTATAATTCTAGGTAGATAGCTATAGGGCGCTATTACAAATATTGTAAAACAAAAACAGTAATAAATGTTATGTTATCAATGAATTGGGAAGTACAATGTATATGTAGTAGTTCCATTTAAAAGAGATTTGATTTCCATAAATGTCAGCAAGTTTAGATCATCATTTTAAGTGTTGCATGTCTTAATAGGTCTGCATGCTAAAGAGCGGGAGGTACAGACCAGGACTGTGTACCAGTTACACTAGTAGATGTGTCAAAAATAGTCGTAGACTAATGGTACGACGTCGACAATGGTGAGTTAATGTCTCATTTAATATAGTTATCCAAAAGCTGAACGTTAGAGGTTTTTGGGTAATTGTTTTAAGGGCTTCCACACCTAAACCACTTATTATACTATAACATTGTGAAAAGATTCATGTAGCACAACCATTAAGTGTTTATATGTGACTTTTCGATGACTAGTTTGGTATGACCAGTGAAGCGTATGTACACAAAGGTGTAAATATGTATGAATCTTTGCACAATCCATACCAACCTGATGAAAATATTTAGAAACACTTATTATATACATATTATTGCCTCAGGTCCTTGACTTATTGGGCATTGTACTTATGACATTCCAAAGTTTTAGAAATCTGCAACAAGAAGTTACAAGCACAAGTGGTGACCTAAAACAGGAAATCCCTTTAATATCTATTTCCATGTCACTTCAACCACAAGCTAGGCCAGACTAAAACATATATGTGTTTCCTGTAACATGTTGGGGAAAATGAAGGGTAGGCAGATAAAGGTATTTTTTTTTATTTTAACAAATAATTGTATATGGTTTATACGGGAGAGGGATCTTGAATTTAAAAGTGCTTCTTTGAAAATTGCCTGAAAAAGTTTAGGGTGTAGGCACAAAAAATTAGGGAAGGTAGGGTAACCGAAAAAAAACAAATATTTTTTGTTTAACCGTTTCACCCTCGTAGACCATAATGAACTCATTCATATCAATGCATGGTTGAGTCTACTCAAGTTACATAGGGGTGAAAGGGTTAACCTTATATTAAAAAGTGTTTACAGTAATAACTGTGTAGATCCTTTCAAAATTTAGATACAAAAACCTTCAATCATCTAAAAACCTGACACCAAATATAAACTTAAAATTTCTCTGTGGCACAGAATTTAATCTTAAAGAAGGTGATTAAAAACAATATATAGGAATTATATATGAAAAGCTTTGTTACTGCTAATGTGATAAAAAAAAATCTGATGTTTTGTCGTAATTATACGACTTTTAACAAAATTTCTTGTATCTTGAATCTTTTAAGCTGAATCGTGTTGCAGCTATTTGTGATGTTTTGTCTCTTCAATAATTTGTATCAAAGGAGGTGACTGGACACAAATAATATTTAAGTATAGCACTAGCGAAATTATACAGCACAGATTAGCTAGCACCACAGAATTAGAAAAGAGGGATGCTATCTAAGTCTGCACTAGCACATGACAAAATACATCTTGAGACAGTCCCCTAACAGTACTTCTGGTCACGCTACACGAACATATACAAGTACAATACAACACCAAGGTAAATATGACACAGAACTTCATCTTTCATCTTAGTACAAGCCTCCGTCAATATTGACCATTATGGATTATTGTGGTTGGTCTTGTGCTGTAGTGAGCTGCATATTGTTGCGCAGTGTTTTTTTGTTTTGCTTTTTTTAGAATTTGCCATGCTGTAGTGAGCTGCATGTTGTTGCATAGTGGTATTTTTGTTTTGCTTTTTTTAGAATTTGCCATAGGATAAAAACTGATTAAAAGCAGTGTGTGTTATAGTTGTGTTGTAGATTTTGTATTTCTTCGAATATGTTATATGTGGTGCATTGTCCTGGACTAGGACAATCTAATTAAAATTACATCTTCACATCGCTCCCGTTTACTGATATGTCGCGACATATCAGTAAACGGGAACGATGTGAAGATATTATTTTAATCAGATTGGGACTAGGACGATAATATACACTAGAACAAAATGATGCCCACAAACTAACCAATGTAGGATTACTAGCCTAAACCTTCATCCTTGCCCTGACAGTATGCTCAAGCATGGATTCTGTGCACAAAGCAATTTTCTTATAACTCACTTAAATCATGTCAAACGATCAAAAAGTAAAATGTAAAGATTGAAAACAGTTTTCGGGATTAAGTCTCTTCATCTTCAATATTTTTTCTAAACCATTGACAAAATGAGATTTTTTATTAATTTATAACGAAAACAAGAAATTCGGATTGAGCACAAAATCCATGCTTGAGTATGAGAACGGTTTCATGAATACGGGCCCACACATCTACATGTATCCGTCAACATGTCTAAGTCTGGTGTCAGGGCCAGAGGAAACTCGGGGTATAACCAGGGGTCCCTGTGTTCTGGAAGCCGATTATTTATTAGTTTGGTGATGTGTGGTTCCTAAGTATATTACATTTGTTCCAGAACCAGAGCACCTCTGAGCCTAACACTAACAGCACAAACTTGCATTGTTGAACCGAATGCGGATGAAACAGTGTGGGACAAATGAATTAGAATACATACAACTGACAATTGTTATCCGTTCTCTCTGAAATCACAAGGCGGCACAGTTCTTGATGATTCTTTTAAAAGCGTGAAGCACACCGTTCAAGCCACGTTGTTTACGTTAGGTTACATGGGCGCAGCCATTTTTATACAAACTAAAACTCGCACAAATATCCGGACAAAAAATCCGGAATATCCATATTGGACTTTCTGTACTCAGATACGTTTAAAACCAGTAGTATATATATATATAAACGTCTCTGCTATACTATACAATTATAGCGTAACGACGGTCATATCACTATACTAATAAATAATCGGGTTAATTACACTTAATACATTTTTGTACATGTATCAAAAGGTATATAGTAATTATGAAAATAAAAGTTAAAGTATGGTAGGACCTATTTTAACTGTTTAATTTTTGCACTAAACTTATGTAATTTTGGCACTTAACTTAGGTAATTTTGGCACTAAACATAGGTAATTTTTGCACTTAACTTAGGTTTGCATCTATCATTGTTCACTTTTTAATTTACCTTACTTATATTCAGCATTATTTTGTTTGCTTCTTATTTGCTGACGCCTTTAATAAAGACGGGAACCCGTGGATCGGAATGGAACTCAAAAAACAACTTAAGAGACAGGAAAGACTCTACAAAAGAAAAAAAAGAAAACGGGTGACCCACAACATATCGCCCAATACTTGGAACTTAAAAAACAAATTCAAAAATCATCCAGACAAGCATATTGGAAATACATTGAAAACATAGTAACACCCAAGGAAGAAGACAATACCTACTCTGGAAAGAAACGAATTTGGACATATATCAAACATAAAAAGAAAGACAATGTCGGATTTACATCACTAAAGCTAGATGGAAAACTCTTCACAGATGCCAAATCCAAGTCAAACATCCTAAACCAACAGTTCAAGTCAGCATTCTCGGAAAAAACATCATTATCATTCGACGAATTTCGGAAATCTAAACGTATGACATCAAAGGAATATCCCAAAATGAAGGAACCTGAAATCACCACCAAAGGAATAGAGAAATTACTTGGGAAATTAAACCCACACAAAGCTCCAGGCCCTGACAACATCTCACCCCGTGTACTAAAGGAGCTCTCCAGCGACATAGCCCCAATTCTCCAGTTAATCTACCAAAAATCACTGGACACTGGAATCGTCCCAGTTGACTGGCGTTCAGCAAATGTCACCCCTGTATACAAAAAAGGACAAAAATTTCAAGCGGAAAACTACAGGCCAATATCTCTCACCTCAGTGTGCTGTAAGGTCATGGAACACATCATCGCCAGTACCATTATGCTCCATGGAGAAAGCAACATCCTCTATCCTTTCCAACATGGATTCCGGAAAAACTGATCATGTGAAACCCAGCTCATCGAATTTGTTGATGATGTCTCCAAAAATCTTCAATCCGCCAAACAAACTGATATTCTAATCATGGATTTCGCAAAAGCTTTCGACAAAGTCAATCATAGCCTCTTAATTCAACACATGGATAAGCAGCTGGCTAAAAGACAGAACCCCAAAAGTTATCATCGACAGTGAAAATCAGACACATAAAATGTGGACTTCGGGGTACCACAAGGATCAGTCCTAGGACCGGGACTATTTCTGTTCTACATCAATGATCTACAGGAAAAACTAACATCATCCGTACGACTATTCGCTGATGACACGATCGCCTACCTTACAATCACCAATCAAAATGATGCCGAAACACTCCAAAAAGATCTGGACAAACTCGCGAAGTGGGAAGAAGACTGGTGCATGATGTTCCACCCAAATAAATGCACAGTGCTAACCATCTCTAACAAAAAGCAGACGATAAAACATAATTACACCCTCCATGGCCACATTCTGGAAGCAGTTACATCAGCAAAATATCTTGGACTTACAATATCAAGCAAGCTAAGCTGGGACCTCCACATAGATAACATCACCTCAAAAGCAAACAAAACCGTTGGATTTCTGAGGAGGAACTTGAAAATATCTTCAATAAAAATCAAAGAGCTTGCCTACAAAGCACTTGTCAGACCATTGGTTGAGTACTCGAGCTCAGTATGGAACCCCTACACCCAAATAAACATCAGCAAACTTGCATCGGTCCAAAGGAGTGCAGCCAGATTTATCATGAACAGCCACAGAAACCGTTCAAGCGTTTCATCCATGATCCAACGCCTAGGCTGGATTTCACTCCAAACAAGAAGACGTCACTTAAGACTCCATATGATGTTTAAAGTTGACAAACAACAAATAGCCATCAAAAAGGAAAACCGAATCGAAACACCAATGAGGAGGTCCAGAAAACAACACGATTGGTCCTACCAAATTCAGGCATGTAAAATAGACCCAAGAAAATATTCATTCTTCCCTCGAACAATAAAAGACTGGAACGAACTTGACCCAAAAACTGTGAACTCGACAAACTTGGAAACTCTCAACGAATTGGAACTAAAAAAACTTAAACTTCTAACAGACCCCGCACTCACTAGGCTTAAGGCTGGTGGGTCGAATCAACCAGCTTAAAACGTCTGACACTACATCAGTGTTTTTACTTTTCAATTTTTACAATTGTGTGTTCACCTGCGCATTGTGTATCATAAACATTGCATAATCTTCGATAAGACGAAGGTGGCAATTGTGTGGAAGAAGAAGAAGCCTTCATTGGAGGCCATCCACCATCGTAAGGTTCGACTCGCCATTGTTCGGTATCCTCTCAGGATGGGGGTGGAGCCTAGGGGCACAGTGAGTCAATAGATTCTTTGTCAATACTAGCATGACGCTTTTTCTTAGTCTCTGTGTCATTTTCTTGACTAACAGCTCGCTACATCGATATCGTGCCGTTATTAGCATAGGGACTTCAGATTTTATTACAGCTATATTTGGACCCAAACTGAGGTGTTCAGAGTAATTTTATACTTTTTATGGGTTTAGGTCAACTTTCGGAAAAAAGTGCCACACAAGTGATGATATACTTGTATATATATCATCATTGAGGGGGGAGGGGATTTTACGAAAAGTTGATCTAAATCCCTAAAACTAGTATAATTACCCTGAATATCCTAGTTTAGGTCCAAATAGAGCTGTAACAAATAATCAGGTCCCTGTGGTTATTACCAATACAAAGAACGACGTCAGTCACACCGAATGTACAGGAAATTCTCAGCAACTATCCTCTATATAATATATCCATTATTTGCAACCCTCTAGCTCTGCACTCTAGATGACACATATTTGTTAGTCTTTCTCTCCTGGACTTCATCCCATCTTTCCTACCACTAAACTGCCAATCCTATGCCTACAGTATTCTTTGTCCCTGTCGGTCACAGTGACATGTCTGACTGGAGATTGATTGGTATTATTTCTGGAAATCTCGACTTACTGCCACTTTCCACCGCAAGTTTCTAGTCTCCTCCTGATTTGTTAAGGATCTCGAAAATCATGCCCTCTCTGCAATCTCTCCCTCCACTGCTTCCAATATAAATAAGGTTGCTTGACAACCAAGAATACTTTAGAAGTCGTTACTTTTATTCAATTTTTCGAAAGATGAGATACTAGCTAATCATATTTTTGTATTACAATTAATCTTTCCGACTACTAGATACCGATAGAACACGGCTTCCACTTGCATTGTTGCTCAACTAAACGATCATCCAAACTCCAAACTACCATTCTTGTACCATTGAATCAGGGTTACAATCGTACTCTATTGTGACATCAGTAACAGAATATTTCTTCAATCAGAGTATTTGCCCTTTCCTCTCTACACTACTATATTCATCGGTTTGGTTTGGTTTGGCTTTGTTTAACGTCCTTTTGACAGAAAAGGTCATTTGAGGACGTGCCTCCATGTGTGTAGTGTATGCGTGCTTGCATGTGTACATGTGTATGCAGGAGACAGGGTATATTGATCTGCTTGCCTCATTGCGATAGTGCGGATATGATGCCAACTTAAAAGTGATACCTCACTGAAATGCCATGCCGAAGGCACCAAGCACCGAAATCCGCCCGGTCACATTATACTGACAAGGAGTGAACCATTCCCCATTAATGCTGAACATTAAGCAGGGAATAACAACTACCACGTTTAAGGACTTTGGTATGTCACAGCCTGGGGACAGAACCCATTGCCTTCCTCACCTGGGCGAACGCTCAACAGTCAAGCTAAAAGTGAGGTATTGCAAAGCAAGGCGCTAGGAAATAAAAGGTAGCTAGAAGCAGAAAGAAGGATAAAGATCCCAAATATTGCAATGGGCGCAGCAGATTTATGTTGGTCGCCTTTGTGTCCCCAAATAGAGGACACCAAAGCAAATCCCCAATTCTGCAGGGGGGTTACCACATCAGTCGCCTCCTACGATACACAGCATGTGCATTTTTTACTCGATCCCCCACCTGCACGGATATACCATATTTATCATACCAAACTGAATTAACGCATTCGATCTCATATTGTGAGGCATTGGTTTTGCAATGAAGGCATCCGGCGTCACAAAAACATATAATTCGAGGTTCTTACATACCGCTTTATCACAACCTAGGTTCTATAGGTCGTCTCAAAAGGGTTTACAAATTAGTATCCGTGGTTATGGGGCCTTTGCAACCAGCCAATACATTTATCAGCTGCTCCCTGAGGAGCATACATCCGATGCTGCCATTTCGTCGTTCACAGCTAGCATTCAACTTTCCTACACAGTTCAACCACGTATTCATTTACAGCTGAGTAGACTGGAACAAGCGAAGTAAAGTATCTTGACCAATGTTACAACACAGTGCCGTGACGTGACACGAACCCGCAACCTTTGGCCACGAGCCCGGCGTCCTACCACTAGACTACCGTGCCTCCGTATATATGTATATGATTGTGAACTATTTGGGAGCATATCTTGTGAAATATGAAAAACATAACAAAGACCATATATAAGGGGGTGAAAGACTTCATTTCATTTCAGAATATTTATTGTTCAGATCTTAGATACAAAGGAATTGGGCAACAGGCAAAGCCTATGAGCGCCCTCTCCTTACAGTTATAAACAGTTTACACACATCATATTGAATTGAAGTAACGATAAAACATGTATATTATGTACATGAATAATGATATTTGCATGTCATTATTAAAA